GCAGCCAGCGGCTCATCAAGAGGGTGTCTGAGCTCAGCCGAGAATTCAGTTCCCCTGGGGAGGACAGAGAAGACGAGGGGTCCAGGCATGATGCAGAGCACCCTCTGGGCCACCCCACTGATACACACCCCCACCTCTCAGCACCCTCCTTCCCTTCCAGAGAGACATGGGGACTGCATCTCTACCCCGACACAAAAGCAAACTCCAGGTCCCTGCAATGAATGAAGGCAGGAGGGTAAGAGGGACAAAGAATGGCCAGAGGATCCCAGACCTGGGCAGGGAGCCCCACCTGTCTTAGTCTCCTGGAAGAAACCAAGGTCTTGACACAGCAGGGAAGAGAAGAGCTGCTCTCGTATCCGCAAGTTGATTCTGGACATGATGAAGGTAAAGCAGCCTCCTCGGCAGCCTGCGGACAGGGAGCTGTGGACAAGGAGGAGACAGGACGAAGGTGAGGCGGAAAAAGGTAGAGAGAAGGGAGAGTTGATAAGGGAAGAAGTCAGGGAAAGTGCAAGAGGCCAAAGAGAAAGGAGATCCAGAGGGAAAAGAGGAAGAGGAGGAGGAGGAAGGGGAGGAGGAAGGAGAAGGGGAGGAGGGAGAGGAGGAGGGGGGGAGGAGGAGGAAGGAGAAGGAGGAGGGGGGAAGAGGAGGAGGGGGAGGACAGAGAGGAGGAGGAGGAGGGAGAAGAGGAGGAGAGGGTGGAGGCAGGGGGGAGACCCAATGGTTTAAACATTCTGATTAGGGGCTAGAGGGATGACTCAGCAGTTAAGAGCACTGATTGTTCTTGCAGAGGACCCAGGTTTGATTCCTAGCACCCACATGGATTCAACACCCTCTTCTGACCTCTGCAGGCATTGCACAACATGGGTGCACTTACATGCAGGCAATACACTCATACACTAAAACAAAAATAATAGTATTAAAAAAAATCCAATTATCACCTTGAAATGCAAGAAATTTGGAGGAAAATAACCACATTTAGAATAAGGGAGGATTGTCTCTTGAATTCCATAATCAAATTGGTATTTGGATGTCCAGACAACAGGAAGTAATCTCAAAAGCCCAAGGCTTGAGGAAGCCAGTTTCCTGCTTATTCTGGTATGTTTGATGAAGAAGATTCCCTTGCCAACAAAAAAAAAACACCCATAGGAGAAATGTGTTACACAAGTATATGTGTGCCATATGTGTATATGTGTGCATGTGTATGTACATGCATGTTCAATTGTATGTCCCATGCATGTGCATGTGAAGGCTAGCAGTTGACATCAGGGGTCTTCCTGGATCACTCTCCACCTTACTTTTTGACACAGGCTCTCTCACTGAACCTAGAGCCCACCATTTCTGCTAGTCTGGCTGGCCAGCAAGCCCCTGGGATCCACTTGTCTCCACCCATCCCACCGCCGGCACTGGGGTTAGAGACTCACATCACAGTGCCATGCTTTAGGGTCTAGAGGAGGAATTTTCTCCAAAGGAGGCACAGGGATTTGAAAGTAGAGGGGAGTTCACACTAGCTGCAGAACTGATCAATAATAAGATCTACCATGGCTGGAGAGACGGCTCTGCAGTTAAGAGCACTGGCTGCCTTTTCAGAGGACTCAGGTTCGATTCTCAGCACCCACATGGTGGCTAACAACTGTCCATAACTCCAGTTTCAGGGGATCCGACGGCCTCTTCTGACCTCCGTAGGCATTGCACGACACAGGTGCACGTACATATGTGCAGGCAATACACTCATACACATAAAATAAAAATAACAAGTAATTTTTCTTGTCTTTTTGAGACAAGGTCCCCTTGTAGTCACAACTGGCCTGGAACTCACTATGGAGATCAGGCTAGCCTCAGTCTCACAGAGATCTGCCTGCCTGTGTCTCTTGTGTGCTGGGAGTAAAGGTGTGTGCCGCCTCACCCAGGTAAAAATAAGATATTTTTTTCAAAGATCTACCAGAGCCAAAAGCTGCAGGAGCATCAAGGCCTGATTTGAAAGGGGGGAAGAAGAGGATTGATCCATAAAAAGTTCATGTAGCCAGGTGAGGTGGCACATGCCTGTAGTCCCAGCACTTGGGAGGTGGATCTCTGTGAGCTCAGGGCCAGCCTGGTCTACATAGTGAGTTCCAGGACAGCTGGAGCTACATATAACTGAAGAGCTAGAGTGAGGAGAGAGCGCCAGAGCCTGCTTGATCTGCACCTCAGTGCCTGACCCGTCTCACCTAGTCTTAGCACATGCCTGTAGTCCCAGCACTTGGGAGGTGGATCTCTGTGAGCTCAGGGCCAGCCTGGTCTACATAGTGAGTTCCAGGACAGCTGGAGCTACATATAACTGAAGAGCTAGAGTGAGGAGAGAGCGCCAGAGCCTGCTTGATCTGCACCTCAGTGCCTGACCCGTCTCACCTAGTCTTAGCACATGCCTGTAGTCCCAGCACTTGGGAGGTGGATCTCTGTGAGCTCAGGGCCAGCCTGGTCTACATAGTGAGTTCCAGGACAGCTGGAGCTACATATAACTGAAGAGCTAGAGTGAGGAGAGAGCGCCAGAGCCTGCTTGATCTGCACCTCAGTGCCTGACCCGTCTCACCTAGTCTTAGCACATGCCTGTAGTCCCAGCACTTGGGAGGTGGATCTCTGTGAGCTCAGGGCCAGCCTGGTCTACATAGTGAGTTCCAGGACAGCTGGAGCTACATATAACTGAAGAGCTAGAGTGAGGAGAGAGCGCCAGAGCCTGCTTGATCTGCACCTCAGTGCCTGACCCGTCTCACCTAGTCTTAGCACTGCCAAACACTTTATTATTTGTTTGTTTGAGACAACAGACTCCTGCCTATGTATTAAAAAGACGGGAAAACAGGAGACTTAAAATGCAGGAAAGAGAGGTGATCAGCCTCCAAACCAGAGCTTTACTGGTCCAGCCCATGCTGGGAGATTCCTGAGGGGTGGGAGGGAGCAGGCCAAAAGGAGAGCGGGAATGCTGTGAGAGACACCGAAAAACACTCCATTTGACACGTGGATAAATGTGGATAAAAGAAGAGATTAAAGGATGGATGCAAACCAAACACTGAACGTTTGTGGTTTGAGTAAAACAGTGAGGAGCGAGAACCCCTAACCAGACGTGGGACCCGGTTGCCCATCACCTACTCACCTCCCAACAGAGAACAGGCACATGAAAATGATGGCACTGGTAAAAGCATCCGGGTCAAAATGACCTCCCAGGATGTCAATCACACGACCAGAATAGTGAGGGATTAAAGTCTCCCCTGAAAGAGGCAGAAAAGAGGTGAGTGTGCCCAGCCAAGGCCCTGCTCCCGCCTCCACCTCATGACAGCCTCTCACTCACCCAACACCGCCAACACAAGGAAGAGGAAGGCGGCCATGAGGAAAGACAAGTCGGGCCTGGAGAGCTTCATCAACCTCCACATAAGGGCTTTGCTGTTCTCCTCGCCCGGTTCCCTCTCCTGGTCTCCTGGAGTACTCAGCACAGCCCACACGGCCCAGCCCAGTACCGCAGCTCCATAGCTGGCCAGCAACCAGCCCCAAGACGCAGAAGCCAGTCTGACCGCCTGGGCGCTCAAGGTGCCTCCAACCAGGGCTTTCAGGGAAAGGAACAGGGGGCTGGCCAGGCAGAGCAGCGGCAGAAGGGTCCCCACAAGTCCCAGCAGGCCCCCCCAGCTTTAGCAGCCCCCACAGTCCTCCAAGTCGCAGGGTCCCCTCCAGCCAGACTCCTGGAAGCCCATGGGGAAGCAGATCCCCCAGAGCCCCTTGCAGCAGCCAAAGTAGGACCGCGTCCACCAGCAGCAGAGAGGCCCAGGGCTTCGGGTCAAGGGGCGGCATGGTGCGCCGGGTCTGCGGGGAGAAGGGAGATGTTAGGGTGGTGGAGGCTTCCTTCTGGTCCTGACTCTCCTTCCCGGAACCGGTCCTTCGACCTTCTCATTTTCCAGCCTCACCCCAAAGATCCCCTTCTCAGCACATCTGTCCTAGGATCCATCGCATGCTGCCTGTCCCAGGGAGCTGGGGAGGCCACACACACACACACCACACTCACACAGGACCCGGTCTGCCGCCACCACACCTACCCCCGCGATGCTCCAAAGAGCCAAAAAGTCCGAGCCCCAGCCACACACCCCAGGCTCCTTGGGTAATGAAGGTAGAGGACGTGGGGGCGGGGCGCACAGGGCTGGGGCGGAGCTCAGGGCGTGGCCCAAGAGAGCATAAGCTAGGGTCTGGGAGAAATGAGGAGGGGCATTAGGCTCGCAGACCTGGGGCAAGGGGTGCGGGGCAGGGGGCGTAGGGCAGAGGATGTGGGCCAAGGAACGCGGGGCAGGGGACCTGGGGGCACTGGGTGTGGGGCGGGGCACCTGGGACACTGGGGACAAGGCAGGGCGCCTGGGGCATTGGGGGACCTGGGGGTACTGGGCGTGACGCAGAGCACCTGGGGTACTGGAGGCAGAGGACCTGGGATGTTGAGGGCAGGGCTGGGAACCCGGGGCAACGGGTGTGGGGCGGGGCACCTGGGGTATTGGGGCCAGGGCAGAGGACCTGGGCACATGGGAGGCAAGGCAGGGGACCCGGAGCATTGGGTACGGACCTGGGAGCACTGGGTATGGGGCCGGGGCCTTAAGGCAGAGGACGCAAGGTGCGCGGGGCAAAGGGAGCGGGATGGGGACACCGAGGGTTTGGGGATGGGCTGGGTCCCTGCTAGGGCTCAGGGTTTCTATCCACAACAACTGACCTGCGGCGGAGGGACAGCGGTTCCACACGGCTTTCTGTTAAGTCCTGGAGACTGCGTCTGAAGCCTGCTCTTTCTCCCCTGGGCTCCCCTGGGCTCGCCCGGACGTCGGCAAAGGGCGCGGGGATCCTGGCTTTCGCTTTCGCTTCCCAGCCAGGCCCCAGCTTCGCAGCGCGGCCAGCAGGCGGCGCCTGACACCTGCAGACCGCGTCACCGGGTCCATGGGCACAGGTCCCTAAAGCCTTTGCTTAGAAATACGGTCTGAGATGCTTTGGGATGGGAAACCCCTTGCATTTCCCCAGTTGCTCCTTCAAACTCCGAACCTATTTTAGGAAGCACCTTTTGGCTATGAATATTGCTCAGTGGTAGAGAATATTTGCCTGAGCCCTAGGTTCAGTCCCCAGACCAGAAAAAAGAAGCTGGCCAGAGAAGGTGGGGAGGAGAGGGAGGAGAAGGAGGGGGAGGAGGGAAGAGGGGAGGAGGGAGGAGGAGGAGAAGAGGGGTCCTCTTTTTCCAGGCAAGCGCCGGAGTTAAGGTCTTAGTGTAAACACACAGCCAGCCCCTGATGGAGAAACACATCAGGACTAAGTAGAAGACCTCAGTCACTCTCAGCACAGATTTCCACTCAGATTTTGAACCCAGGAGACTCTTGGTCCACATATTTCTAGCACAGCACCTGGAAGTGGTGGTGGGGTGCACTGGATTTGTGCTTTGAATTGTGCTGGGAATGCAGTCTGCAGCAGGGAGGTGTCAGGAACTGTTTTAAGTTAACACTATCAGAACAGCAATCCAGTTTCCACCTGTCCTGCCTCCCCCAGAGCATACCATTGAAACCTGAAGTTGTGTGTATTACAGCCCTGGGTTCGAAGGTCAAGCCCTCGCCCAGCACCCCGGGGCCCTGGGTTCCATCCTCAGCACTGGAAAAAAGACAGTCTTGGTCGCACATCACTTTGCTCACCATAGTTCACCATGTTCAGAAATGACTCATCTGGCTGACTGCCTCTAAAACTAAGAAATGAAAAAATCCCCCTTGAAATGCTACTGGTGTGATTAGCAGTGAGTCACTTCGTTTAAAACCTGGGAGGAGAGGGAATTGAAGCAGGGGTCGCCAAACTGTCTCCTACCCTATCAGTTCTGGGATTTCAGGGTCTCTCTCTAATGAAGAAAGTTCCACACCTGGCCTCTTCGGGCTTCCAAGCACCTCCGTTAACCCATGACCTGGTTCTCGATCTTTCCTGTAGCTCCCACATGAACCAAGGGTTTTCATCGTCTGGGTCTTTTTTGCACCCTGGGTCTTTGGCTTTTCCCTCCAATCACTTCGGGGAGTCTGGCTTATCTCCTCGTCCTGTTCAGTCAGGAAACTGTCATCTTTCATTTAGACGTGCTATATCATGAAACTGAGCTGCAGCGAGCATCTTTACACTCCATATCCAATATCACAAAGTGCTACTTGGAATAAATTTCATCCCCCTCTACAACATGAAAGACAGTTGTTGTAGGTGCCCCCCTCTCCCAGTCATCCCAAAGCCCCTGCCAAGTGTCCCACACTGCCGTCTCCAGACTGGGTCATGTTAGCAAAGGCTCTGAGCCACTGAAGTCACAAATGACTGTCCAAAGAGAAAGGCAATCAGTCTTGATCCCGGAGATGTGGAAGGGTAACCAGACAGGCTATCTGGGAAGGATTTCTTGCTTAGGTAGGAGTTGGAGTCCCTGCTCCATCAAAGCTTCTCATGATTTCCTGTCTGCTCCCTACACCTCCCTCCAATCAACAACCCACAGCCCACCCCCATTCAGCCACAACACACAGACATGTATAACCGTTTTCCTTTATTGTACTTAGAGGGTACCCAGGGGTGGGGGTGCTCACTGAAACAGAGAACTCTGCCCATCTCCACTGGCCCCAGAACTTTCTCTGCCTCTGACCCAGGTTGAGCCCCTCCTTTTCCTGGGACTAAAGCTGGTTTCAGGTTCCTGTGTCCACCAGGTTCACCAGAGGAGGTCTGCCCGGCAGTGCCACCTTCACGAACTGACCCCTCGGTACTTGTGCAGCAGGTCGCTGACGTCTGAACTGTCCACTTTGACCCAGCCGTCCTCCTTCATGTGGTACACTGTGGGCAAGTGAGAAAAGAGCATCATGGCACCACGCTTCACTTGAGCAAGTTCCATCAGTGACATGCTGTTGATGGCAGCAACAACAACAGCACACACACACACACACACACACACACACACACACACACGCCCCAAACCCTCTTATCTGGGACTTTAATGTCCTTGGACACTGAAGACCTCAGTCCCACCTCCCCTGAATCTCCCATTCTAGAATCTTCCTCCCCGTTTTCCAGGCATGGGGGGGAGCATTTCTCTCTTACTGTTGACAACGCCTCCAGAATAGCTGTCTCTGTGGGTGGCGTGAACAATGGCCCTGCGGCCAAGGTCATAGGCCTCTTCAGGACTGAGATCAGGCCGGTATCCACTGTCTATGACCCCATAGGCGTAGGTGTTCCCGCTGCCGGTGGAGAACATCTGTCCAGAGAGCCGAGTCCCGTTCTCGTCCACATAGTACAGTCCTGGTCCCTAAAAGATGGAAAGGGGCTCTGAGTTGAATTTGGAGAGGGGCTCATGGGTAACAGATACGTGAGTGTGACAAAGGAATGAAATTACCCACAGGGGCATTTGACTGAGGACAGGGTTTTGGTAAAATCATAGAACTTTAGAAATAAGCAAGGAAAATCAACTTGGATCCAGCAATTTTAGCAAGAGGGATAAATTTACCCAATACACAGAAGGGCTGACACAGACCAAGAAATAGTTCTCGGATATACTGGGACCATTCCAGAACCAAGCATTTGATATGCCACGTATCTTGCAGTGGTTGAGGGTGGTGCAGTGGGGAAGAGGTCTGTCATACAAGGTGGGGGAGCGTGGGGACAGGGAGCATGGGGATGGGGGGAGCATGGGGATGGGGGGAGCGTGGGAACAGGACACCCACCTTCTTGTCCCAGCCACAGATCATGCTCCCCATGGACAGACCCATGCCCCGGTACTGGCACATCATGTTGGAGAGCAGCTTTGAAGCGGCTGACACAGAGATGCGCTCCCCGTTCCGCAGATAGTACAGCCTAGATGAGGGGAGGAAGGGTTTAGAGGTAGCAGAAGGTTGGCTCTCTCTCCCATAGGATGGGGACAGCAGATTGAAGAGATGAACATTTGGAAGGAATGAGCTTGTGGCATCCAAAGATCAGGGAAAGATCTGGAGTTTAAAATATCTAAGCCAGGGGCTGGAGAGATGGCTCAGTGGTTAAGAACACTGGTTGTTCTTACAGAAGACTTGGGTTCGAATCCCAGAACCCACATGGCAGCTAACAACTGTCCATAACTCCAGTTCCAGGGGATCCAATGGCCTCTTCTGCCCTCCGTGGGCACTGCACGACATGGGTGCACTCACCTACATGTAGGCAGTACACTCATACACATAAAATAAAAATAATTTTTAAAAAGTTTATTTTAAAAAAAAATCTGAGCCAACGCCTTTAATCCCAGCACTTGGGAGGCAGAGGCAGGATCTCTGTGAGTTCTAGGCCGGCCTGGTCTACATAGTGAGTTCCAGGTGGGCTGGGGCTAGGGACACCCTGTCAAAAACAAACAAATAAACAAAAAGTATAACACCTAAGCCACATAAAGAAAATCTAGAAAATGACACTACTCCACCAGAGCTGATCGTGTCCATCTCAAATACTGACAGATTACCTGGTTTGTAAGCAGGAGCACAAAGATTGGGGAGATGGTTGTTTTGCTTTTAAGACAGAGTCTCACTATCTAGTTCTGGCTGGCCTTGGGAGAAGGTTTTTAGTCATCCAAAGGCTGTTTTATGAAAACCCCTATTATTACTAAGACGGACCACAGGGGACAAGGCTAAGAAAAAGGAACTCAGAAGAGCCAAGAATTGAAAAAATGAGATGAGTTTGCCTACCTGCATTCCTTGGCCAAGAGCCTCTCCCAGTACTGACAGTCTGCGGCACAACCAGACATGGTACCAAGCAGGTAAGGGTTGATTTCAATCACCTTGTTCACCCTCAAGGTGTCTGGAAGAGTTTTGAGGACAGAGGAATGAGCCCCCAGCTCCCTCTGGGCACCCTAAGTCAATACCTTCTCTCTTCAAGAGAAGAGACCAGCTCCCAGACTCTGCCCACAGGAGCACAAGCACTCACCAATGTAACTCCCTGCAGAGGCCCTGGAGTCCACGGCTACAATGACTCCGTGCTGGAACTTGAAGGCCAGCGTGGTAGTGCCATGGGCCATCTCAATCTGAACGTTCCTTTCTTGGTCACCACCGAAGGACCTCAGAAATTCAGTGGGCTAATGAGACAGGAGAGGCAAAGAAGGGGGCTATGACCATCCCTATGCAGGAGGCTCCAGGAGTGAGGATGGGTCCCCAAATTCTCTAACCACCAATAACCACAATCGACAAGGAAATAGTTTAGGAGGAGGAAAAAGAAGAGGTTTGCACGCCAACCTTTCCATTTTCCAGACAAGGGAACAAAGGTCTTCATAACTAAACATTATATGGCTGACTTTAAGGTAGGTCCACATCCATAGGTCCTGCGGCATTCGCCATTTTACCAACTTGTTCTCATTTTACAGAAGAGGGCTTAAGACCTAGATGACCCAACTTGTTCAGAGCCCTTGAGAGTGGACTGTGGAGGCCAGGCTGGCCACCCAAGTCTTCCAGCACAAGTACAGCCCTACTCTGTGTTAAAACAGAAGACTGATTTTTGAACACTGGAAAAAGGGCAGGAAAGCCCTTTTGTCTTTGGATGGGCACCCCACCTCATCTCTCACTCTGTATGGTAAACTGCACTGTCTAACCTTCAGGCCCCCAGCCCCACGTGGGCTCCTCAGGGCGGGCCTTGATGTTGCTCTTCTGGACTGAAGACTAGCCCCTCCTCTCGCTTCCCTGCCCCTTGCTGGGCAGCCTCTAGGCAGACCTTCCTTCTTCCTGCGCGCCCTCCCGCTGCGTCTCTCAAGGGTCCCGCAATCCTCACCTGCATTCCCGGGGGGACCGCGAGCTCCGGAGCTTGCGCGGAGAAACTGTAGTGTCCAGGGTCCGAGCCATGCCCGCTTCCCCCAGCCAGGGCAGCCCAGTCCGGCCGCTGGCCCCGGGGCGCTCCGCACACATCCAGTAACGCCATGACCGTTCAGCCGCGAGCTCCGTGGACTCCGGCAAGGAAGTGAAAGCGAAAGTCACAGCACCAAGGGGAGGGAACCAGACTTGTCCCCTCATCCCCCTGCCCTTTAGAAGAGCCCAAGCAATCGGTGCCTGAACCAGGGCTAACAGATTGGAAACACTTTTCCCTGCCCCGAGATCCGGAAGACTGTGTGGGAAATGGGCTGTGGGACCAAAGAAAAGGCGAGCCTTCGGGGTCCCCTGAAAGTGGGGTACAGAGAGAGCCCAAGGTAGGGCATCCTCTGAGTGCAAGATAGGGTCCTGCAACCTAAAGAAAGTTCCACCAAAAACCTGGAGTCCTGGAGAGCGGCGGGGGGGGGGGGGGGGGGGGGGGGGGGGGCGCTTCACCCAGGCGCGCGCTCTAGGGATGAGCGCAGTGTTCAAATGAGCATCCTTTTATTTAAAAATCTGGAACTGATGTGTGTAAGTGGGGCACTGCGTCCTTAGGACAGGTCCTGGGGAGACCAGGAAAAGGCACCCCAGCATGTGGGGACAGGGTGCACCGAGAAGTCACAGTCTGGTTCTTTCCACGTGGTCCCTCCTAGTGCCCCACTCGGGGCAACAGTCTCACCACCCTGGAGCAGTCCAGGAGAATTTGCCCTGCCTGCCCCGGGCGGCTCGAGGTGCTCCAGGCAGTGCTGAGCGCTCCTTCCTTCTTCTAAATCCCGCCTCTCTTTGCAACCTGTGCCTGCCTGATCTGCCCAGCAACTGTGATGTCACACTTCCCCGGCGCTCTAACGGTTCTGCCACTTTTCCTAGGTTATCCTGGTGGGTGCCACTGAGGAGGCAGGCAGGTGTGTGGTTCAGAAAGGATGAGAGGGGACGAGTGTGGCGCCCTGGCATCCCACCGGCCCTGGCGCTTCCTCCAGCCGCGGCGAAGTGGGGGGACTTCTGAGGGGCAGATCCGGATGGGTGCTCAGGGTGGGGTGCTGGGAGGAGCTGCCTCTAGGTTCAGGCCAGCATGGGGAACTGGTGGGTGGGTGAGAAAGTGAGATGAAAGAAAACTACGGGAATTTTTTTTTTTCACCTTAAGGGAGGAGATGAGATGAGCCGGCCATAAAACAGAATTCTGAGGAAGGCACAGACCTCGCCAGGAAGGGCGCTCCAAAGCAAAGGGAGCCCTTGTCCGGTGTAAGACACAAGGGAAACCAGGGTAGAAAACACGTTTTATTATAAATATCAAGAGCCCACAGGATATCCAGAGGCTAATGTATGCCTTTGGTCAACTACAAGCAGCTAGTCCTGCCCCTCTGTGCATTCTGGGAGTTTCTTCTCATTTTCTGAGCTGTCTATACCCTGCCTTTAGAGTCGGGGACTGCCTGTCTGTCTTCCTGGAAGGATGCGTTGCACTATCATTCGAGGGGCTGGGGCTGCAACTAGGTTGGGAGAGTGCTTGGCCAACAAGCAAGAAGCCCTAGGTTTCACACACACACACACACACACACAAACCCCCACCCCCGCCCCACCCCCACCGGCCCACAGCATGGAATAGACGGGGCATGTGGGTTCAGGACAGAAGAACACAGGAGGTAGAGGAATGAGGATCAGGAGTTCAAGGTCATCCAAGCTCAAGGTCAGCCTGGATGAGCCCCTGTCCCACAGCTGGGAGGGAGCCAAGAAGAAGTAGCACTCATGGCAAATTTCAGGCACCACCTAGGGGGTTACATATTGCCTTTACCACCTCCCCTCAGTAGCTACACACTCTACCGGTGTGGTCACAGCTTTGCTCCCAAGTCTCTACCAGCAGAAAACAGTGGAGAGAAGGGTGGTGGGTATCCAGAGGCCTGTCACTTGGGAGCTCCTGCAGGAGCCTCCACCATAGCCCGATAGTGCCCCCTCTTCTCCATGAGTTGCTCGTGGGTGCCCTGCTCACAGATGGTGCCTCCCTTCAGAAAGAGGATGTGGTGGGCCTGCTCCACCAGGCTGAGCTGCTGGGTGATAAGAAGCACCGTCCGGGAGGCCCGCTCTGGGCTCTCATACAGGAGCTGCTGGACCTGCAGAAACACACAGACATGTTAGAACCAAGGACTATGCCCAGGCCAGCCCCAGGGGACCCCTGTGCCTCCAAGGCTGTTATGGATTTCACAGGGTCACTTCCTCTCTGCCAACAACCCCAAGAATGCTGAAGATTCCTGCTTCGAATACCTCCCTCCAAACCTTTGTTTTGTTAAGGACGGTTCATATGCGGTGATACAAACAGGATAAAGCCCAGAAGGAAAGAGTGAAAGGTACCAATTAATCTCTTCTCTGCCCATAGACTGATATTTTAAACGTTGTTTTATTATGTTGCTTTCTATTTTTTATGTCATACATGAGGATAGTCTTCCATCCCTCCCAGCCCCCTTCCAACTACTCCCATGTTCCCCCTTAGGTGGACTGAATGATTGATTGAATGATTGATTGATTTGTGTGTGTGTGTGCACGATGACATGCATATGGAGGTCAGAAGATAACTCTCAGAGGGTCCCAAGGATTGAATTCAGGTCATCAGGCTTCGTGGCAAGCCTTATTACCCCTGAGTCATCCCACTAACCCTTTTTTCCATTAAGAAATATTTATTATTTGATAATTTCATGCATGTATATAATGAAATATAATTATATGCACCCCCATTTCCCCTCTCCGTTTCCCCCCAAGACCCTCCCCCAAGACCTCCCCTTCCCAACTCCATGTCCTCTTCTTTATTTTTGAATGATCCACTAATGGACTGGGAATTTTCATATTAAATTCAAAGAAATATCTTTGTGGTAAAGAGTCTGAGAATCCTGCCAGGCTGGCGTGGGTTTGAAGCAGGTTGGTCAACTTCTCTAAGCCTCTCAGAATAAGCACAGCAGAGCCCATCACATAAGAACTCCCAGTAAAATATTGAGCATCTGGTAAATAGTACAAGCTTAATTATCATTGATGCTATTAGGATAGAGTCAGTAGACAGCCTCTTTTAACTGGTTCTGGGTATCCTGGGGGAAAAGCTAATGGGAACTGAGAATTCCAAGAATAAGTTTAGATAATTATGATACTGGTGTAACTAACATGGGATGATACCTTAGGTATTCAGTGGGACCTTAGGCATTAAAAAGGTGGCTCCTGACTATTACAGAGATCCACAACTGGTCGAAATGCAGAGAATAAGTGACTGTGGGGTGGGGTGTCCAGCCCCAACTGGTGCATCTTCAACATCATCCTACACTTAAAGCTCAGAGACCATCATGGAAGAGGGGGTGTAAAGAGCGTCAGAGCCGAAAGATCCTGACGCCTGCTGCTAGACTGTGCCTTCCAGACATGGCAGGGAAGCTGCACCCAGGAAATCTCAACAACATGGTTGCCTAATCAAGACCTGCATAATGACAACACCAGCTGACATGCCAACATGGATGGGGACATTTCACAAGAGTGCACCTATTGATGAAGGCCTGCAGGCAGTCAATGGCTATTGAGAGGGGGAATCATTTTTCTCCTGGAACAAGCTTCCTGATAGGTCATCCCCAAACACACGGACACCCCGTCAACACTAAATGGATTCAGTAGGATATGTGTGTGTGTGTGTGTGTGTATCTGTAACAATAAAACAATAATTAAAGAAAAGGTCATGAATTTGAGAGGAGTCGGGGGGACACAGGAGGAGTTGGAGTGGGGGGAGGGAAAGGTAGAAATTATGTAACAGTACTCATGTGTGAAATTCTCAAAAAATCTTTAAAAATTAAATTTTAAGGCTGGGTGTGATGGCGCACACCTTTAATCCCAGCACTCGGGAGGCAGAGGCAGGCGGATCTCTGTGAGTTCAAGGCCAGCCTGGTCTACATAGTGAGTTCAAGGCCAGCTGTGGCTATAGGGAGACCCTGTCTCAAAAAGACCAAAAAACGAAAACAACAGGCCTTCTTTCGCTTGCCTGCCTTCATCCCTTGCTGGTAAC